TCTGTCATAGGGTGAGGTTTGATTTGATTTATGAAGAACACTTTCCATGGGCATTTCATTGGAACACTAAGGAGTTACTACTTTTTTTTTTTTTTCTTTCTGCGCTCTAGAGAATGTACTTGTGTTGAATTCTCATTCGCACTGGCATTAAGTCTACTAACCCCTTCATGGCTTTGGAAGGTTGCGTGTTTTCCTTCATGTAATTTGTGATTGCCCCTGACATCCCCCTGACTACTCCATGTGACTGGCTTTATGTCCGCCACTGGGAGACAGTGTGCCATAGCCTGTTTATGCCCTGTTACCCTCTTCTCAGCCCTCAGTAAGAAGTTCTGGGTGCTTGCATGAAGGCACTGTTGAGTAGTAGTTGGCAAAGCAACCATGAATGGGCAGTGCCACTGCTGCCCTTTGCTGCCTTGTTACATGAATTGACCGGGCAGTAGCCGAAGGAAAAAATGGATGTAGGATTCCTGTTAAGCAAGGAAAAGTTAACTGTGGCATTGCCTTTATTTATTTAGTCCTTTTTGCCATAGCAAGCTCCATAAGTTATATATTATTAAATCAGACTGGCCAGCTTCTGCTGTGGTAACAGATGATCCTCAAATCTCAGAGGCTTACCAAAGTGAGCTTCATTGCTGATCATGATGTGGGTCCATCCTGGCCAGCTGTGGCTCCAGACCTGGGACACAGTGTCCACACAGGACCCCAGGCTCATGGAGTGGCCTCTCTCTGTCTTATTGTTGATCTCATGCCAGAGGGAAAAAGAACCTGGCAGGCTACATATTGGTTCTCAGTGTCTGCTGGGTAATGACATGTGTCACTTCCCATTTATATTTCATTGGCTAGTGCAGTGGTCGGCAAACTGTGGCTTGCAAGCCACATGTGGCTCTTTGGTCCCTTGAGTGTGGCTCTTCCACAAAATACCACAGCCTGGGCGAAGTCTATTTTGAAGAAGTGACATTAGAAGTTTAAAAATTTGGCTCTCAAAAGAAATTTCAATAGTGTCCTGTTGATATTTGGCTCTGGTGACTAATGAGTTTGCCAACCACTGGGCTAGTGCATATCCCAGGGCAAGCTGACTTAGAGGGAGCTGAATAATGTGATCTTCCTACAGAAGGGGGCAACATATATGGGTGGGCAGTAATTCCAGAGACTTCAGTCTATTCAATTTTAATGAGTGGATATGTGATTTGTTGAGTGTAATGAGTGTAGGGACATTTCTTAATATACAACTTATTTTTTTAGTGGCCAGCTAGATTCATGGGCTCGAATGGGTGATGCCTGATCTGTGTTTGTTTAAAGAAACAGCCCTTAGCCGGTTTGGCTCAGTGGATACAGCATTGGCCTGTGGACTGAAGGGTCCCGGGTTTGATTCTGGTCAAGGGCACATACCCAGGTTGCGGGTTCCATCCCCAGGAAGGGGCTTGCAGGAGACAACAGATCAATGGTTTTCTCTCATCATTGATTTTCTATTTCTCCCACTCCCTCTCTGAAATCAATAAAAATTTATTTAAAAAAAAAAAAAAAGAAACAGATTATTGCTCTAGCCCCAAATACATTAGAATAAGTAATATGTATGCCTCTTTGGAAAATAACACTCCTGGAAGACAGTTCCTCAAGCCCCAGTGACTACAGCTACGCTCAGAAAATACCTTGTTCATGTGTTTTACACATGTAGGTTTTTATATTCTCCCATAGCCAATAATGATGGTTATGGTGATAGCCAACACTTGTATAGCACTTACTATATTCCAAGCACTGTTCTCTCTATGACTTGTGCAAATGTTACTGTATTTCACTGAAGATTTACTGCTATTATCCTTACTGTATGTATAGAAGGGGAAACTGAGGCACAGAGCTGTTAACACTACGCCTAGTAACAACGGTTAAGTGGGAGAGTAAACACTTCCCCTTTCATCTGGTTAGAACTAATGACTGACATCTTTCATCATCTCTTCTGTTTTCATTCAGATAGCGGTGTTATGTGCTTAGATGCACATGGAAAAGAAAACTAGCATTTAATTAGGTTAGGAGCTCTTCAGTACTTTGTATGCTTTTATCTTTATCTTACTACAGACATTTAACCTGTAATGTTATTTCTCTTATTTTATAAATGAAAGAACTAGAGTCCATAGAAGTTCATAGGCACACTCCCGTTCATATAGTGAACTAGACCAGATCCAACCCAGGCTTCCCTGGCTCCAAGCAAAGCTGGATGCCATCTCTACACAATGGAACCTCTCTGTACTCCTTTAGGTGGTAGTTAAGGATATAAAATAAACAACAACAAAAATGTTAAAGGGTCTTCTTTAAGAAGAAAGAGAAGGGAAAAACAGATTAAAAATGTGAGCAATAAAATGACAATGGAATCTAAAATTCAAAATAAACAAACAAGAAATCTAATGAACAAAATAAACTGATGAACAAATTGGAACCAGAGGCATGGAAACATGGAACAGATTGAGGAATCTCAGAGGGAAGAGGGGAGAAGGGGACAGGAAGAGATTAACCAAAGAATTAATATAAAGAATGAATATGCATGTATGCATTGCCCATGGACACAAACCATAGGATGGTGAAGACCTGGAGCTGGGTAGGATCTGGGTGAAGGAGGGCAATGTGGGAGGAAGGAAGGGTGGAAGGGAGACAGCTGTAATACTCTCAACAATAAAGATAATTTAAAAAAGCAAAAACAAAAAACACTGAAAAGAAACAAAAGAGAAATGCATGGTTATCTTTGCCAATATAAGATATTCTTCCACATCTCTAAATTGATTGATAGTATTTTGTTTACTGAATTGAATAGAACTAAAGCACAAGACCCTTGGACACATCACAACAGCAGTACCATGGAATGACATGGCAGGTGACTGAATATCTGTAAGATTGTATTCTTCATAATGAGCCTGTCAGGTCTGTGTGCTAGAACAGCCTGGAAGTATTGCTGCCAAACAGCCCAGTATGCCTTCAAGATATAGCTTGGTTATTGCTTATTTTTCTCAAAACGGATACTTAAATTCTGTTTTTATATATCACTATTATCTTCATTTATTTTGCCATGGCCAAGTTTTATTGAAAAAAAGTTTTTTTAATGCTTTTCTCTTTTAAAATTATTTTATTGAATAATTAGATGCACATGGAAAAGAAAACTAGCATTTAATTAGGTTAGGAGCTCTTCAGTACTTTGTATGCTTTTATCTTTATCTTACTACAAAGATTGTAGTAAGATAAAGATAAAAAGTTGCACAATGTGAACTCAAGAAACAAACATTGTAAATGTCAGGAACTTGCAGTTTTAATTGGCACAAAAATCCTCTGCATTGTTTTTTCCTAAGGTTGCATTTTTGGAGCTCCATGTTTATTGTTAAAAATGAAAATTAGTCATTGATTTCTCATTTCTTTATTTATTTTATATTGGTTCCTCACCTCTCCATTCACTTGTTTTCCAATGTCCAATAACTACTTTAAAAATTTCACAATTTATAATGTACAAAATGCTTAACTTAGCATTTTGGATTATTGGAAACAAGCAATCACTATGTGGTGTTCAAAGGAGCCACCCTTGTGTGGGTAGTCAACTCTAATAGATGCTTGTTTCATGGCCATTCGTTCTTGTGTGTTGAGTTCACCCAAAGCATTAACTGATTTCTATTCACTTAACTTTGGCACTGGGAACACAAAAATACCCTCATATTATTATATTTTAAGACATTGGGCCAACTCACGTGGTACTTATCTTTCTCTGACTGGCTTAATTCACTTAGCATAATGTTCTCCAGGTCCATTTATGCTGTCGCAAAGGGTAACAAACTGAACTAACAAACAGAGACAAACTCATTGATAAAGAGCAGGCAGACTGCTCTGGTGTGTGTGAGGGGTTGGGGGCAGAGGGCAGAGGGTGTTGGAAAGGTGGAGGAATTGAGCAAGAAAGAAAAAAAAAGAGAAAGAACTTATGGACACTGACAACAGTATGGTGATTGTTGGGGGATAGAGAGGTGTAGAGGAGATAGTTATGGAAAATAATAAAATAAAGAAACAAAAAATAGAAAACAGGAAAAAAAAAAAAGAAGAAGAAATTGGCTCATATCATCCTGTTGATTACTTTTTTCACCTAATAACATATAATAAACATTCTTTCATGTCAGTACCTTGGGGGTTTTGTGGAGCCAAAGATTTCTCAAACCTTTCAGTAAATTCTCATTTCAGTGGCTTTCTATGTGCAGGATTTCTTCAAATGTTTTCCCTGTTGGTGGCAAACCCTTTTTCTATGTATAAATTTTTTTTAGTTTTTCTTCTCAGTGTTACTTAGTATTACTAAATCCTTTTTGTTTAAACAAGTAATCTAATTTGATTAGGCCATAAAACCTTAAAAAAAAAAACACCTGATTTAAAGAAAATCTAGCATAAAGCAATGAAAATAAATAGCTATTTCACAATGTAATAATAATCTTTGGGGGATTTTTAGTGAACTAAGGTTATTTTGAATTATTTTGAATATGGTACAAAATATAATAAGAAGGATTATTGGAGTTGGAATCAAGAGAAGTTTAGAATCCTGGCTCTAGAGCTTAGAACAAAGAAAATGAAGTTTCCAGCAACCCAGTGAATCATTTTAAAATTAAAGCTTTCTTTATACATCATCATGTTGTTTTGAGAATCCCGTGTGACTGGCTTTGTAATAGAGTTCCTAACACACAATAAAAGTTCATTCTTATTACATTTTGCTTTTACCATCTGTGAAAACCTGTAGTTTAAGGTTATTGCTAATTTTAGAGAAAATGGAAGAGATCAATGTAACATATTCACTGTCTGAAAGGATTTGTGTTTCTAATGAAGCAAGTTCATGTAATAACTGTAGTGAGTGCCAACCAACCTTCTCAGCTTCTACCACATGTAAAAAATTCAGACTCTACCCAAAACCACCATTCAACCAACAGAGGCCAATGAAGGGGAAATATCAGTTCAGCATGAACACTGAAAATGATTTTCTTTTTCTTTTTCAGTGTACTTAAATGAAGCAGGGTTCAACTTCGTGAGAAAATGCATTCAAGCTGTGGAAACAAGAGGTCAGTACACCTGATGGTGTATCGCTGCTGTCATGTAGTCCATTCTGATGTACAAATGCTCAACAAATGAGATGCATTTAGCCATTACCATGAGATTAATTTATGAAATTCTGTGATTATATAAATTCATAAAGAGTTTTACTTGGACCTTCAGTTAATAAAAAAAAAATCATCCTATAAACATAACGTGGTCACATCTTCCCACATAGCCTCAGTTTGCTTAATGGTACTGATGGACTCTAAATATTTATTATTGTAAGTACCACTTTAGTTGTTTTTTGTTTGTTTGTTTGTTTGTTTGTTGTTTGTTTTTCTGCTTTAGGGAAGTCAGTAAGATTTCTAACTAGCTTGTGTTCAGCCCTTCCTCCTCCCTATATGATTTCCTTCAGTGATTTCAATCACTGTCAGGATTTCAGCACCTTCCACACTCTAGTGGTGACCTCTCTCCTGAAGCCCACTCCAGTGATCCGTTAGGCAATTACTCTTCCAGGAAAACCTGTCTAAAGCAAAACTCCTATTGGGCTGTGGAGTTCTTTAAACTTAGATTCAAATTTTGGTGCTGCCACTTAGGAGTTCTGAGACATTAAATAGGTTTCTTGTATCCTGTGAATCTGTTTCCTTCACCGTTACAGTGAAGATAAAAAATGCCACAAAACTGTTCCACATGCAGAACTCCATGACCGAAGAAATAGATGAGCAGTGCTATTTCATATTCATATTCAAGTCATGGAGAATAGGCAGGTGCACTTCGCTACTTTGAAGATCTTCAAAGACTTTCAAATCACTGCTCAGTGTCTGCTCTGAGAAATATTTGTCTGGTGGGTGTTTCCAGGGGAGGTTTGCTAAAGTGAGACCACAAAACTGGATGAGCAGCTTTCAGATTCTGTGTAGGCATATGTCTGAGTTTTTAACATTCTGTACTTCAGGAGCTGTCTCAAGTCGTTTTCTTGTGATTTTTTCCTTCCCATTAGGCATCACAATTTTAGGCCTCTACCGAATAGGAGGAGTGAACTCCAAAGTTCAGAAACTCATGAACACCACATTTTGTAAGTTTTGGATGAAGCAGTTGCTTAATTTTTTGTATTCTCACAGATAATCCAAATCATAGATTTTTGTTGTTGTTATTGTTTTTTGGTTTTTGTTTTTGCGATATGGCCCATTGCTTATCCTTGAGTGTTTTCAAGTAATATTTTGTATTCAGTTTTCAATGTCCAGTTATAATGAAAGAACAATAAGAATTTGAGGGGGGGGGTTTATGATGTTGGACTTTCTCTATAGTGTCCCTTGATTAGCTAGAGTTGCAATGAGATTTATGGTTGCTGGATTCAGATTGCCTGGCTTGGAATCCAGCTCAGCCACTTGAAAGCTTTGTGGTTGTGGGTAATTTGCTTAACCTTTCTGTGCCTCAGCCTCCTCATTTGTAAACTGGGGATAATAATAGTGCCTGCTTCATTAAGAATTGTGAGGACTGGAAATTTTAATTCACATGGAGTAGTTAGAAGCATGCCCAATACATGGTGGACTCTCTGTGATGTCAGCTATTAGCAATAATTTGACTTGGGAAACTATTATTCCACAAGAAATAGTTGAGGTTTAGTGCCCCTTTGTTTGACCTACTTACTTTGGTGCCTGTTTCCTTTGGTGCAAATGGTATTTTTTAATTGAACCATCTAAATATTTTCTTTTTATTCTCTTTAGCTCCCAAATCTCCTCCTGATATGGACATTGATATTGAACTATGGGATAACAAGACAATAACAAGTGGACTGAAAAACTACCTCAGGTGAGCAGGGTGAACTGCAGGCAGAGGTCACTCTGCGGTGACCTATCCCTGGCTCGGGCAGTCCCCTGGGGATGCCATGCCCCGGGTGTGGGCTCCACTCCTCAGCCCAGCCCCTTTGTTGAAAGGGAGAGTGCGAGGTGGTAATGTTTGTGTTTGGTGTACTGGAACTTATCCTTGATTTCTCAAATAATAAACTTATTACTTAAGTTTATTATTTATCAAATAATACACTTATTATTTAAGTTTATTACTTAGTATCTCATGAATACTAAGTAATTTCTGTTTCATGGTAAATTTTTTAAAAAATATATTTTTATTGATTTCAGAGAGGAAGGAAGAGAGAGAGAAATAGAAACATCAATGATGAGAGAGAATCATTGATCGGCTGCCTCCTGCATGCCCCTACTGGGGACCATGCCCGCAACCCAGGCAAGTACCCTTGACTGGAATCGAACCTGCAACCTTTCAGTCTGCAGGCCAATGCTCTATCCACTGAGCCAAACTGGCCAGGGCTGTTTCATAGTAAATTTGAATGTAGGGTTCACATGTATTTCTTACAAAATAGGCTGAAATTGAAAGTTTTTTTTTAATATTATCCCCATATCTGAAAGGAGTTTTGCTCACAAAGTGAAAAAATGGTCCTTGGGCCTCTCTGTTGAACATCATAATTGTGGCAAGAAGTGCCAAGGGGCATTGGGTCTCTGAGGTCTTTGTTTTAGCACTGCCTGGAGCCTCCCCTACTAGGACTTACCCTGCAATGCAGCCTGACCACCGGTTCCCAGGAAGCACTGTACATCTGGGAAATAAAGAGATGCTGCCATTGCAAAGTATGCTTCCTTCTCTGTTGCAGGTGCCTTGCTGAACCACTAATGACTTACAAGTTGCACAAAGATTTTATTCTTGCTGTTAGTAAGTATGCTTCCGTTGATGTCGTCTTATGCTGTATTACTTAGAAGTATAACTTTAAACCAACTAGTTAAGATTTCTCTACATATTAAGAAATTGTCAATGTGATACTTAATAGCTTACAATATGGTTTATTAACAAATGAGAAATTGCAAAATGAACTAAATATTTTGTCATTTAATAAGACCTCATTGGAGTGACATTCGGTTGTGATCAGCAAAAGCTGTGAGGAATTTTCTAATTACATTTTACTTGATTAATGGATGTCATTTTTTTTTTTTACAAGAGCAACTTTGTGGTTAGATGTATAAGACTACAGAAATGTACATTTATGCTACTGCCATACACATACTCACATACCATTCCCAAATCTGGAGGGGAAAAACTGTGTTCCCAAATCTGGAGAGAAGAATCAGATATTTTTGGCAGGCAAGAGGCTTTCCCCCCATATTATATTTGTAGTGTTGATGGTCACATATTTATGTCATCTCTTCAGATCAGTGACTGTTAAAATATGATGTGGATAGGTTTAATTCAAAACCTGAGAGGAGGTGGGGGAGGGGGGGTTGTCTGTGAGAAACGTGTAACCGGAGGAGTTAGAAATACGTACTTTTAAAAATTGGCATCAGAGTGCCAGGGCTCCATCTGACAGCATCACAACACTTTGTAACAATTAGGCCTTGGAATTTCATTATTAAGATGTAGGAGGTGTGCCTGTAACAAGGGTATTTTTCACAACTCAAGAAAGAAATCTTTGCATTATTTTATTACCACACATTGTAATGCCACAGGAAACGTCTGCTGATATCAGTGTCAGATAAAGTTGAGTGGCCTGGGTTTTTAATCCAGCATACATGGCTGAGCACATGATCTGGTGAATAGACATGTTCAACTATGCTACTGAGCTTCCTCCTGAAAGCTCCCCATCTGATATTCTCTTTATAAAATCTACCTTTGGGAAATTGCTACAGAAAACCGGGATAATAATCAAACAATGCTAGAGAGTTTGGAGTCACACTTTATTAGGTGCTGGTCCAGAGGAAAAGCTCTCTCAAATTCTGGGCCCCCACATGGAGGAATTTTCCCTATTTATATGTTTTTACCTTCCTTGTCTCCCAAATGTGGGGTGTTTCCGGCCCCCTTTGCAAAGAGCCCCTATGTTTTGGGGCCTTGAGACCTCAACCAAAGGCCTTGCCTGGCGCCAGCACTGATAATTTTTGTCCGGGGAAGGTTTAATAGCCTCTCTGATGTGGGAGTAGTCTCATTTTCCTTATTATTTAAGCAAGCAAGCATTTACAGAAGCCAAATAACAGGATTAAAATTTCAAACAGCAGTTTTTTGATATATAAATGGACCGGGCCTCTGTTTGCACCATGATTCTGATCCCTCAGGAAAAGAATTCCTGGTTTTTGAATTTGTAAATGCCTGCTTCCTCTAGTCTGGTGGAGTCACTGTAGGTTTCAGTATGATAAAGCGTCAGTCACAGTGCCTCACACATTAGGCAGTCTGTAACCCTGGCTGTGGTCACTCCCATCGCTGAAGGTTTGGTTCTGTCCTTAAGTAGCAAAGCCAAAGCAGGCCATGAGTTCCGGTTGTCTGGATGTATATAGTGTGTGGCTAAGAGCACCGGCCGGTATTAGATAGACCTGGGTTTGCTTACTTCTTTTCTCACTAACTCCATGGCCATGGTCAAGTTACTGAGCCTCTCTCAGTCTTCGGAAATGATATGTGATAATAGCCATTTGAAACAGCGCTTTTAGGACATGAAGGGGTGGGTGTGGTTGTGACGATGATTAATGTTTATGTATATCTTTTTAATGCAATTAAAACTTGAGCTTTGCAACCTTTTTTTATGTTACAGAATCTGATGACCAAAACTACCGGGTGGAGGCTGTACATGCGTTGGTACACAAATTACCAGAGAAAAACAGAGAGATGCTGGACATCTTAATAAAGCATCTGGTCAAGTAATTCTCTGACATCTGTTGTTCACTTTACTTGTTCAGCTGTTGAAGTTAGGCTTGTCCATGTCATCTTAAGTGTGTGATGGTGCTGGGACATTGGTGTTGTCATGAGAGTCTTTAGAATGTGCTTTAAAAATGACTGAAGAATTTTGAGACAGATCTGTATGTACATGTGTATGCACCTGGGTATGAGTACAATATGAAAATAATTACATCCTTTGCAACGGTTAAGCTAATGTTGAAAAACTTACGTGTCAACTCAAAAATATATGTGAAAGTATATAGTTTTCCCACAATTCTTTTAGATACATTTTGATCCTTAAATTTGAAAATGAGTTCACCATATGAGTCTTTTCTTTGGACTCATAGTATCTCTTTGATCTCTGAAGATTTTTTTGACTCTGCTGCTAGTCATTGATATATTTAAAAATCTTGATAGATATCACAGTAGTTAGGTTTCTCCAGAGAAACAGAGTGAATAGGATGTTTGTGTTTATGTATACACATCCTATATATACACTAGTGGCCCAGATTTGTGCACTGGTGGGATCCCTCGGCCTGGCCTGTGCTCTCTCGAAATCTGGGACCCCTCCAAGGATGTCAGATGGCCAGTTTCAGCCTGATCCATGCAGGCCCGAACCAGACAGGAGGGAGCCTGACCCCTGCAGGCTGGAGACCCAGGAAGAGTTGATTTTGCAGCTGGAATCCAAGGCAGCCCTGAGACCGAATGCCTCTTTCTCAGGAGACCTCCTTTTCTCTTAAGACCTTCAACTAATTGGATAAAGCCCACCCAAATTGTGGAGGGTAATCTGCTTTACTCAGAGTCTACTGATTTAAATGTTAATGTTATCTAAGAAGAAAAATACCTTCACAGAAACAGCTGGAATTATGTTTGACCATATATGTGGGCACTGTGGTGTCACAAATTTGGCCATGAAATTAAACATCACATATCTATCTTTGAGACTCTCTCTCTTTCTCTTTCTCTCTCAATCTCTCAATCCAGAAGTTTGTTTGCCATGCTACTGGAAACTAAACGAAAGTCCAAATTCACATTTTAAACTTATTTCAGAATCCCCTTATCGTTTCTTCCATTTTTTTCTAATTTATTTTTATTTAATTTATTTAATTTGTTTTGTTTCTATTCCTCATATAACCTCTTTCACCTCCCCCCTGCTATCCCCTCAACCCCTCAGTCACCACAAGGTTATCTGTGTCTATGAATTATTTCTCTTTCTTTTTTGCTCAATCCCTTCACATACACACCCAACTCCCAGTCACCACCACCAAAGCTGTCTGACTATTCTGTACCCATGAATCTGTCTCTATTTTGCTTGTTAGTTCATTTTGTTCATTAGATTCCATATGAGTGAAGTCATATGGTACTTGTTTTTCTCTGATTGGTTTATTTCATTTAGCATAATGTTCTGCAGGTCCATGCACACTGTCACAAAAACTGTTAGACATTTTTCATCTTAATGAATACCATGATTCATAATCAAATAATTCATTCCTCCTTTGTTTGCTAGAGGTAGTAACCAAATTTATGCTAATTTTAGTCATGCACATTTGAAATAATACTACATAACCTATTAATAACTCTCAATGTGCAGGCTTTGAGATAATATTAAATTCCCCCATAAGAATCCACTTGGAATGGCATAATTTCAAGTTTATTTTTAACTGTTGCCTATGGCAATACCTTTATTGCTAACAAACAAGGACTCATCCTTTGTTAGAATTAGTCTTAAATTATGTTTTTGAATTTGTATAACTCTTGATTAAATTTAAGCACATGGTATTTATTGGTCATTCTCTTGTTGTATTCAAGCTGTTTTTCTAATAATGTGCTTTTTAAATTGGCATGAATGTCGTTTCTTAATTACCTGGAGTATTAGATGAACACAAGCTTCACCCTTAATTTGAATGTGTGTTGTTTTGATAACAAGGAATAGCAGGACAGGGTATCTGGTTATATAAAAGTGCTTAAAATTGTCTTGTTCATCCTTCATCACCATTCCTGGCTCTTTTTTCTTTTTTTCTCCCTGTTGTTTGTTTATTGACTTTTTGAAGCTACTTTTTATAAAGTCTCTATTTTTTTTTAAAAAAAAATATTTTATTCAATTAGAAAACCACAGTTCACACATTTTCTCCACACCTGACCCCACATCCTCTTACATCCAATCTGTTCTCTATATCTGTGAGCTTGTTGTATGTTTTCTTTTTCTTTTTGTTATTCTTTAACATTCCACATATGAGGGATGTCATATGGTGTTTGTCTTTCTCTGTCTGACTTATTTAATTTTCAGCATAATGCTCTTGAGATCCCTCCATATTTTCATAAATGGCAAAATTTCATTCTTTTTTATGTGTGGGTAATATTCCATTGTTAATACATACCATAATTTATTCGTTCATCCATTAGTGGACACTTAGGTTGTCTTCATGCCTTGGCTATTGTAAATAGTGCACAGTGAACATGGGAGTGCATGCATCTTTTCTAATTAGTGTTTTGTTTGTTTGTTTTTTATATAGTAGAATGTGTGCTCTAATGACTTAAGTAAATTATAAACAACTAATAACATTCTTGGTTCCTTGCAACCTAATGACTCAGGTAAACTATAAACAATTAACAACACTCTTGGTCCCTATCAACGTTATGTGGCTTAAAAAAAAAAGAAAGAAAGAAAGAAAGAAAGAAAGAAAGAAAGAAAGAAAGAAAGAAAGAAAGAAAGAAAGAGAATTTAAGACCTGTGACCTGGATTACTCACTGGCCTAAAGAAACAACAACTTAATGACTAATTCCAAATTTCCATTAATTAGCTCTGAAATGTTATATAAATCACTAGATGCCTAGTGCATGAAATTCGAGTCCAGGTGCATGAAATTCGAGCCCAGGTAGGATCCCTAGCAGCTGCTGCCTGACAGCCAGGACTCTCACACCCTCCCCACATCCCCCAGCTGCCTGCTGCTTACCAAGGTCTCCCTACCTGGGGTTGGCCAGCTGGCCCCACCCCCTGGTCAAACTCTCAGTCAAGGGAAGAATTTGCATATTAGAGTTTTATTATATAGGATTGCTTCCATTCTGAGGATCCTTTTTTTTTTATTTTTTTTTTTTTCTTTCTTAAAATGAGGCCATCTGTGGTTCTTCTTTGATTCTAACTTTAAATATTCAGAAGTGCAATTGGATGTCTGTTACCTATAGGAGTAGAGGGATTAAGGTTCAGAAATGGATGAAATGTGGGTGAGAAGTGTCTGGGTTAACTAAGGAACCCAGCAGATGGAAAATTCAGTGAAGAGTAAATTGGTCATCAAAATATTCTATCTCTTCTGACACAGTCATCAACTCTCTTTTTCTATCGATAAATAGAGCACATTTTTAGGATTTTTAAATGTATTTCCAGTGAGCTTTATGTTAATCATTGTCCAGTTTACTTACACTCCCAAGGACTTTTATATTTTAGCAATAGTTCCTAAAGCCAATTTAATTACAGGAAGGATATTATTTTGAGATCTTATTTCACTTAATTTAATTGATTATTTCATTTTCTCAACCCTATAAGGGTTGCTATCCTTACTAAATGAGGAAACTGAAGCCTAAAGCTATTAAATAACTAGGCTGACTACACCCCACTTCCAAGTTGGATGGATTAATGCTTTGATTCCAGATAGACTCATTGTCTTTCCAGACTACTTTCTTAGTACATTCTCTAATATATATTACCCACAATCAATATGTAATATTTGGTTATACAAAAAGGAAACTTGGGATGAAACTCTTGTTAGTCTAACCAAGAGTCTTCTTAGATAGTTCTCTCTTGGACACAGGGGACATTTCAGTCAATGGGACAGTCAGCGTATCCTGTCCTGTACTAAGAATTGCATGGGTAACCCAACATCCTGGATTCCCCATAACATTTTACTTTGAGTTTTGGGATATAGTTAGTGATGCATGCTTAGATATAAATATAATCTTATGTGTTAACACTCCTTCCTAGAATTTTCCATTCTAAAACCCGGCTGGAAGTAACAGAGAAAAGGCAGTGGTTAACTTAGGAGAGTGGTCAAATGAATGAGGTTTCTTTTCTTCTGAAGAATATATTCAATTTCCAAATTAGTTAATTAGTCAAAATCATCTTTGATAACTACCAAGATTAATTTGCTCAGGTCAATAATATCAGGCTTTTTGTTTCATTTCCAGCACTGATTTCCTCTTCCTGTTCCCTCTTCTTCCTATTTTTCAGCACAGTGGCCAGCACTTACAGAAGCATTTAGGGGAGGCTTAGAAAGATAAGGAAGAAAGGAAGGAAAGAAGGAAGAAAGGAAGGAAGGAAGGAAGGAAGGAAGGAAGGAAGGAAGGAAGGAAGGAAGGAAGGAAGGAAGGAAGGAAGCGAGGGAGGGAGGGAGGGAGGGAGGGAGGGAGGAAGGAAGGAAGGAAGGAAGGAAGGAAGGAAGGAAGGAAGGAAGGAAGGAAGATGCATTGGCCAGTTGTCTTACGTGAGGAGCTCAAGGAAACCTTTGATTTGTATTCAGGAGACCTGAATTCAAATGGCATCTCTGTTCCTAATTTGCTGTGACCTCAAGTACATCATTTTTACTTTAGGAGCTTGTTTTTTTACCTGTATAGTAGGAGAACCTGACTTCCTGGGAAGATTAAATGGAATAATATCTGGAAGTGCCTGGCAGTAGGTTTTCAACAATACGTTTAGTGAATCCAAATAAAATTACAACCAGCCTACTCTAAGCCATCTGTTCTAAAAGAAGTATAGCACTGTAGAAGATACAAAAGGGTCTATAATCTGTCTTTTCAGGGTGATTGCACTCACTTTACGAAATCAAGATTTCCTCCTCCCCTTCAATATATTAACTTTTGTAATTATGTTTTACTTTGGCTATGTTAATTTCTTATGTCATTTTTGACTATACTCATTAATGCCAATTGGAAGTGACTGAACCTGATTACTTGGAAAAATTAGCCTGTAATGGAATGTTTTACATTTTATTTATGTCGCAAATTTGGTAGTTGAGAACATTTTATAATTACTAAATGTTTAACTTAAGATATTTTTGTTGCTCTTGTTTGCAGAGTATCACTACATAGCCAACAAAATCTCATGACTGTCTCAAACCTCGGTGTCATATTTGGCCCAACTCTTATGAGAGCACAGGAAGAAACTGTGGCTGCTATGATGAATATTAAGTTTCAGAATATTGTCGTTGAAATTCTGATAGAGCACTATGAAAAGGTAGGCTGAATTTTCACGTGGGAGTATCAAATTTTGTACATTGCATTTCTATCATCTCGATTTTTCATTTGCATCATCTGCGAGCTTCACATTGTGAAATCAGATTCATACAATGTTAGTCTTGTAAATTTTATATAAATCATGTCTTCGTGAGGACTCTGACTTTTTTTTTTCTTGTTCAATTTTTAAATCCTCCTCAAAACCTTCTGGCCATGTGATCTCCTTTCCTTCTCCATCATTTTCCTTTAAATATTTTCTTCTGCCATAACCAGTTTGGCTCAGTGGATAGAGCGTTGGCCTGCAGACTGAAGGGTCCCAGTTCGATTCCAATCAAGGGCATGAACCTTGGTTGTGGGCACATCCCCAATACAGGGTGTGCACAAGGCAGCTGATCTATGTTTCTAACTCTCTATCTCTCTCCCTTCCTCTCTGTAAAAATCAATAAAATATATTTAAAAAATAAAGATTTTCTTCCAGAGCACTTATATAATCAGATTTTTGCACATATTCAGATAATACTTTAGAATAACTTTGTGGTTAAGTTTCTTTTAACACTTTAAACTCTCTGGAATTAGACTCTTAATTATACAGCAGAGGTGATATTCTAAATAAAACCAAGGAAAATATTCTGGAGCAGTCTTGAAGTCATCTCTAGCCAGTCCCCCAGGAGGGTGACTTTATAAGAATGGGATCTTAGAATAACTATGGAAATTGAAAATTGGGGAAGCTGAATTGATTGCATTATTAACAAATTCAGCCACTGAAGGGTCTAAACATTTTGTGATGCCTGTGTCAGATCTAATCCTTGTAAGAGAATGACTGTGATTCTTTCTCCTTCCCCGAGTCCCTCCCTAGTACCTAGCTAAGGCTGGAGGCTTCCTCACAGCCAGGGAGCACGTGGCTGCCTCCTGTCGCTGTGCTCAGACCTGTCACTTTTCTTGACTATTCAGATCCAATGGCATGGCGACTAAGAAATGGGCCCATTCTGCTCGAGAAATGGTACAACCAAAGGCTATGTTTAGCATGAAAGGGAAAAGACTGTTATCACACAAAAAGAATCAACCTGTCTCAACATTGACATTTGTTCCTATTTGAAACGTTTCTTAAAATGATTGGGAAATCTGAACTTCACTGTTGGGGAAGCATCAAAAGGAAAACCCAGTGGAAACCGATTTGGCTCAGTGGATAGAGCATCGGTCTGCGGACTGAAAGGTCCCAGGTTCAATTCCGGTCAAGGGCATATACATTGGTTGCAAGCACATCCCCGGTAGGGGGTATGCAAGAGGCAGCTGGGTCAATGTTTCTCTCTCATCAACGTTTCTATCTCTCTATCTCCCTTCCTCTCTGTGGAAAATCAATAAAATATATATATAATATTAAAAAAGGAAAACCCAGAGAAGAAACATTCCTTGGTGTAAATGGGAAAGAAAGTTGTCATTATTCTGGGAGTCATTTAATGTACTTATTTTTTGGTAGTAAGCATCTCTTTCATACAACTGATGAAGCAGCATATAATTCTAAGATTAAGTGGCATATAAGTCTCAAAGCTTCTTTTCTGATGAAAATGGCAATTTCACCCTTCTGTTTACCGTGGCCCATTGTTCCTCCGTGTAGATTTTTCACACTGCCCCGGACCCCAGCATCCCTCTTCCTCAGCCTCAGTCTCGGTCTGGGTCCCGAAGGACGCGAGCAATCTGCCTCTCCACTGGCTCCCGGAAGCCCAGAGGGAGGTACACTCCGTGCTTGGCAGAACCCGACAGTAAGTGTGCTGGCCTTGGGGAGAGGCTTTCTCCATTCTTCAGCCCAGCCGTTCTCCCGCTAATTGGGTAGAAATAGAAGTGGTTCTCACTGATGCTATCACCCCAAACCTCCCCACCTCTTACATTTGTATGTTCTCTGTCAGTATAGTGGCAAGGTACTTTGGACAAGCAAATGTATTACTGCTACAAAGGAAATAATTAGTTTGCTCAGTGCTCCCCCCCCCACCACCACTTTTTCCCCCTGCAGCTGTGATTAAGTACATGAGGTGCTACTTTGTGGAAGCTTTTGTCCTATTGTCAAAGTGGTGGAGAGGAAAGCGAGAGAAAGACTGGCTGAGGCATTTTTCTTTCTTCCTCTCACATTATGTTCTTAAAGCATCGTCTCTTGGGTATCAAAGTATCTCAAAGAGAGGGGAAAAAAAGAAATGAGGAACTATACCACGCATTATCACTAACTTAGTGTTCTGAGCCAGGCCCCAAGATGAGGTGGAGGCAGCTTGAGCCCATAAGATGTGTTAAACTGGCCATTTTCATTCTATTTCATACCCCTAAAACCCCCAATTTTTCCAGAATCAATATCTAATAGAAACCATTACTTTTTAATTGAGACATATTTGAACACTTTTTACAGTTTCTCTGATTTTTTTTTCCTTATACCTTACTTTTAGGAACATCAAAAAATACACCCAGTTAAGCAGCCAGTTTCTTACATTGCTATATTCTTAACAGGAAATGGAAAAAGCCCTCTCTTTTCAATTGAGAGCAGCTTGTAATTTGCAGCTGCATTTAATGGTCCCTTTGAATGGAGGAGGACTGGGATGCATTATAATTCAGAACCACCTAAGATCAGAAAAGTTAAAAAAAAAAAAAAAAAGTCAGAAATATGTCTTCCATATCCTTTTCATTGGTTTTTTTTTTTAGTAATATCATCATGGAATCATTTTTCTTACTTGTTCTTACTTGCGAGACCTGTTTCAGAATTTTGTCTGAATTCAGGTCAGCCACTCATGCTGTAAGGAGTAGCAAGCATCGTTTCATAGGGCAGGGCACATATAAAGTTCCCCTTGAATAGCATTGAAAAATGCATTCACCAAGTTCAAATGCCTATCTTAAAGGCTGTCTCCAGGCCTGAGGACAGTTCTCCAGGCCAGGGGAAGGCCCATCACTTCAGTGGGATCAGGCGGCCACAGACCCTGTGTGAGGTGGAGAATGGATGGGTTTTGGTTGGTGCTGTTCTCAACGGAGAGCCTCTGTCCTTCCTCTCCCCCGCCCCTGCCCAGGCGACTCCTACAGCAGCAGCCCCGCCAGCACACCCATGGGGAGCATTGAGTCCCTCTCCTCTCACTCCTCGGAACAGAACAGCACGACCAAGTCCACCTCCTGCCAGCCCAGGGAGAAGTCCGGAGGGATTCCCTGGATCGCATCCCCGTCACCTTCCAATGGACAGAAAAGTCTCGGTCTCTGGACAACCAGTCCTGAATCCAGTTCTAGAGAAGATGCAACCAAAACGGATGCAGAATCAGATTGCCAGAGCGTGGCCTCCGTCACCAGCCCCGGGGACGTTTCCCCACGCATAGACCTGGCCAAGAAAGGCCCTCATGGGACTTCGGGGCAGAAAAGAGCCTCGGCTACCTTCCTCAGGTCCATCGCTGCAGCTGAAGGTGAGCCGGAGTGGAGCTTATGCGAAATGTCATGAGCTGCGTGCAGCTTTGCCGGATTGTTCCGCGTGATTAATCAAGGGAGACGTTAATGGGGCAGGGACGAGTGATGCTTATCTAGTTTGTTCCTGAGCTGGGGTTTTTCCAGACTCCTCTGCGCCCAGACTTTCTCCCTGGCTCTCCCTTTCTCCGCGAGGTGCTGTCTTTGTAATTGCTGTCGATTCTGATCTCCCTGAGTGACGGGCGGGCGGCCGTGCTGGGGAACATTCTGTGCCGTCTTGTTTGGGCTCAGAGAAGAATGCTTCCTTTTGTGATGCACATGGACTGTGCTGTTGCTATTATTTTGCCTAATAACACCTTGCCTGTTTTCTTTGGGGGGGGGCTTTCTTTTCTAGGAAACAAGAGCTACAGTGGTTCCACTCAAAGCTTAACGTCCATCGGCTCCAAAGAGACGCCTAAAGGCCCGCCGAACCCAGACCTGCCCCCAAAGATGTGCAGGAGGTTAAGGCTAGACACGGCCTCCAGCAATGGCTACCAGAGGCCGGGCTCCATGTGAGTGAGAGGGGTTTGCCGGGTCTGAGGGGGTGCATGGGGTTGAGGTGTCCAGGGTACTCTTGGCACTTCCACCCCTGAATGCCTCATCTGGAGAGTGGACGTGGCCGACTTCTGTAGGACCATACTGACTCCTAAACGTGATGTGGAAGTTACAGAGGATAAGTAAACTACCTCATGGGCAGGCCTACCAAGTGCTTTCCTTAGACACAGAACTATGGCTTAAGGACATGCAAATAGGTGTATAATAGAGTAGTGATGGGCTCAGAAGCTACAAACCTTTCTATCAAAGCTAAACATCAGCTTGCCAGCTGAGGAGACTGGGTGCCAGGCCCAGATGACAGTCCCTCCTCCTCCCCCTGCCCAAATTTTCTGTTAGAAATAAACTGCTTTCTGGCTCTGAAGGCTGGCCTTCTCTCCTCCTGGTCACATGACTGCCCGTCTGAGAACTCAACTGATTTAAACAAGTTCTTAGAGAACAAGGAACTTGACAAGCAAAAGAAGTCAGTCCTTCTTATCCAAAGAAACGACCCGGAAGTGTAGAGAATGAGAAGGTAGGGTGCATAGATGTGAGCAGAAAGGGGGTCAAAGAGGAGAAAATGGGAACTTTGCCTAAACAACTAAGCAAAACTCAAAGAGGCTTTTGCTGAGCCTTTCTGAGTGCTGTATTGGGTGTCACTAGACGTCCTGACACATGTTCTCATCCACTGCACCCAGTGGGTTCTATAAACCTTATTGAGAAATGTGGGAACTGATACTCAAAATTCACAATATTGCACATCGAGTTAATTCAACTAAAAATACTAATAAAAAATTTAAAAGAGCATTTAATGAACCAATCTACATACCCTCAGCTAGTACGTGTAGAGCTGGAGTAAATTAAATGTGCTCTACATACTGTGCCCATTTTCAATATCGTGGTATTCCTGACATTTAATTTTACCTCAAAAGTCCAGTAAGACATTTCACTGAGATTGTTTCAATACAAAGTGCCTTAAATTCATTTGTTCCTCCCTTTCTCTGACACAGACCTCTTGGTTTCAGAGTGTGTTTAATAAACGTTGTCTCTCTGGGTCAGAAACTTAACTGCCATGATATAGACAAGTATATTGATAAATCTGTCTGCTCTCCAATATATGTGGTTCTAGCCACTAAGGAAATTAAATTTTAAACTAATATGTCAAGGGAGATGGGATAGGAAAAAGAGGAGAGCATCTGTTTTGTTATTTTACTGATAGAAAAAGATGAGATTAAGGAGAGAGTGTATGTGTCAGGTTCTGAGAGAATTTTTCAAAGAAATAAAATAGATTTTAAAAATCTACAATACTAAGGAATTTGATATCCCTTCTGGTATAGATAAAAACGTTTCTAATTACTGAAGGTGGCTTAGTTTTCATTCTTCTCATTCTCTACCTAATGTTATCATCTCTTTACAGACCATTCCCCCCACCCCCAAGATTTGAAACAAGATTTGAATCCACAAATTTATTTAGTGGCCATATTTTCAGAGTTATCTCTTCCCATATTATGGGAACTGTGTTCAAATGTTAAAGGATACGCAAAGTAGTTTTAGAATTAGTTTTGTCTTAGCTGTCAGAATGAACAATTCTTTTGTCATGTAGATTTGATTTTTCTCTTGTGGATTAACAGCAGTCTATAATGTTGTTGCCAGGAGCAAAGTAGGGATAAAATGTTCCTTTTTACTGCTCCCACTTTTCTGAAGTAGAAAAAATGAGGACAGCAAGATCCCCATAGGGGGTAGCTTTAGGTTTATTACAGTCTGATACTCCTTGAACTGAAACTTTCTTCCACATTAAACCTTAAAACAATGAAAAGTCAGGCCAAATTTTGGGGACAGTTCTTAAGTAATCACTTTTGTTTAACTGATAAACTCTGAATTTCATTTTAAACTGAATGATTTTCTAATCGATTTAATGAAACTTGCATTATCAAATTATTTTTCAGTGTGGCAGCGAAAGCCCAACTGTTTGAAAATGTTGGTTCGGTGAAGCCAATTTCTTCTGGACGGTACGTCTTTAAAACAAAGTAAAAAATAAGTAAATCAGTGGTGAGATTGTTGCCTTGTGTGGACATGGGGGGTCATCTTTGGCGGCTCTGCCCCCCATTCTGCAGATGGTCACGTCCACATTCACTGTCTCTTCAGTGAAGAGGTAATGTGTGAGAGCACTATTTAATGTCTTACACTGTGAGTGTGATGCTTCATCTGCTAAGATCTTCCTAAAGGAAGAGTTCTTAAAAAACAAGTTTTCGTATACATGCATGTAAGTACAACCAATGGACATAAAACTCTGGGGAGGGGGGCAAAAAAAAAATCAATAAAATATGTAAAAATAAATTTAAAAAAAAACACAAACAAACAAGTTTTCCAGAAGACACAAGTTGCTGTAACCCTTTGCACACCAAAGACTCCTTTGGTGACAGTTTGTGGAAATTTCTCCAAAATACTTGACTTTAAAATTATAGAACTTTTTTCTAGAAGCAGTTTTATTGTTGTTGTTGTTCTTATTGTTGTTATTCTTTCCAAAGCCTAGAAAGGCCCTCACACATTAGTTCTTTAAACTTCCCCACCAGAGTTGGTATCTTTCAAGGATATTAGTCGGTGCATTGGGTTCATATGGCAGATTGCAGACTGTTTGCATGGATCTTACCTCTGCTTAGCATCTTTAACTTCTTCCTTCTTTATCAAGGCATGGTGAAGACTACGCACCGTGCCTGTCAGAGCCAATGTCATTTTTCTCTGAAACTGTCATTATTTTTAGGCCTTAGTGGGAGGGATTTAACCTTGCTACTTGTAGTCTGTGCAGCTACCTGGTTGAATTGCTCCACTAGATGGAGCCCTTTTATTAGGAAGCTGGAAACAATTAACTCAAGTCCTGTTATCAGAGATGATCCCACAGGGCTTTAAAACAGCAAGCAGTGGAAGTAAATCAGAATGCTGTCGTATCATAAGATAGCCTCAAATGTTCAACAATCAGTCTGTGCATTTTTAATATGCGTTTACATTCTAAATACTGCTATAAATCAACTTCTTTTTATTTATTGATTGATTACAGTATTACATATTACATATGTGTCCTCATCCCTCTAACCCTCTCTTCTCCACCCATGCCCTCATCCCCCTGTTGCCTCTGTCCATTGGTTAGGCTTATATGCATGCATACAAGTCCTTTGGCTGATCTCTTCTGATGGCTGTCAGCAATTACGGTCTTTGTCAACAGCACTGTGGACCATGTTCATCCAGAGACAGGGACCTAGGGACACAGTGGACTTCACATTCAGTTCTAGGCCCCACCACTTTCTATGTGTATAACCTTGGTGTTACAAAAGAAATCTATTGTCTCTATAAAATGAAAGTGACAACTCTGTTTTCACCTAGTTGTTGTAAATTTCAAATACAAAGCAATCTATTTGGCAAATTCTCCACAGATAATCTGTACAATGACAACTTATTGTTATAATAATTTTTATTGAAACTATTAAAGATATTCAAGCTTCTAATTATCATATTACTAATACTTACACATTAACTCTTCAACAGTTACCTGATACTTTTTGGTACCATGCAATACAGCTGAACAACAGAAAGTTGACAGCATTTCCCTTACTAAGGTCCTACAGTGCTTATTTCCTGGTCCTTCTAGGAAACTCAGGGTAACCTTTGAATTGGACCTTGAAGAACACTAGAACCAGTAATAAGTAGTAGGAAGACTAGTTATGTTTGTGGAAGAGACCAATAAGGAGATTCCAGTGCATAATCCTAAGTAACATAAAAGTAACATCGCTGGGAGCCACCACAGGCACGCTGGGAGTCATTGAGTAGAGGGGTGATCTAATCAGTGATATACCCAACAGTTCATTCCAAGTGGATTTTCTAGGAATTGTGAAGAGGAGAGTTCAGTCAACCGTGTTGGATGGAATTGGTGAGATTTAAAGGCCTTACATAGAGCAGTAACAAAAGCATGAAAAGCAACAAGGAGAGCTTTTTGGTAGGATCAGGATTTGGCAACTGCTTTGATACTGGAGTGAAAGACAGGTAATGAAGATTCCGAGTATCAGAAACAATTGCAGCTTAGTTTCTGGTCTCAGCCTATAATTAAACGGAAGAGAGGAAAGTCGTGGCCATAATGTTTGAGGAGCCTGATGAACACTGAGAGGCTTTTAGACGTTGTGGAGTTTGCCATTTGAGAAACTTCTCCGTTTCTCTGTGTAGATGAAGGTGGAGCTTGCTGAGTGTAAAGGAAAAATGCTTGAGCATTGATTGGTCCTTGGGGAATGGTTTCATTTAAAGGTCTAGCAAAGAACAACGTGAAGGAATGATCAGAAGCAACAGATATCATCAACATGGTAGAAGCTGCAAAAAGTCAATGCGACCATTAGAAGAGGACACTGTTTTCACCCCTCAGACATATCTTACGTCTTGGGATTTTAAAAGATATTATCTGTGTGCATGTCCACTTCCTTCAGCAGTGAAATTCTCAGCAACCAGAAAGTGTGAGGGAGTGCATATGTGTGTGTGTGTTTATCATTGTTAAGTGACTCTCCAGAAAACTATCAGTTCCTTTTGGGTGACTTTTTTATTTTGCTTATAGTTTAGTAAGCATTGTGAATTTTGCACACTGACCCTATCAAACCTTTGTAAGTCTACTCATCAGCATTAGGCAGCATTTGGCATTGGAATGGGATTTGTGATCAGGTCACCTTCCGTAGGATGAGGGGGAAAATGACTCTCAGGACAGTAGGATGTTATTATCTCACTCTGCCACGCACTAAGAAGCAGGGATTTCAGAATCCTTTACAAAGGATATCAGACCCTTCTGAAGAGAGACTCAGTAGCTGGCGGTGTTATTTCACGTCCTCTTCAGTGCACTGAGGCAGTAAAAGAGGCAGCATTAACACCTGGAGAGAAAACTTCACTGTCACACAAGTCTGCATTAAATCATCAGAGCTCTCTGCTGAGTTAACACCTGCAGTTACGGAGCTCAGCAGAGAAAATTACACCTGTCTAGACACATGCACAGATAATTGAAAAGTCACGACAAGTATTTTTTGTACTGTGTATTTTTGACACAGTTAACAATATCCTTTTATTTCATGATACAATTATTCTGCTTGTCTTCTCCAGCCATGTAATCTTCTTATAAAATGGCTGAAATATTAAAAAAAAAAAAAATAGTTTAGTTGCCTGTTAAGGTGCTCTTTGAAAAATTATAACATTGTAAGGATTGTTATACCTTAAGTAGAGGCCCAGTGCATGAAATTTGTGCACAGGAGGTGGGGGGCAGGTCCCTCTGCTTGACATGCATCCTCTCCAATCCCAGACCCCTTGGGGGGATGTCTGACTGCCAGTGTAGGCCCGATTCTACATGCTCTCTCCTGCTGGCCTGATTGCCCCTAACTGCCTCTGCCTCAGCCCCCACCACTGTGGCTTTGTCCAGAAGAACATCCAGTAGATATCTAGTCTAATTAGCATATTATCCTTTTATTAGTATAGGTCATTTCTATAACTCTGGACATTGTTTCCTTATGCATCTCTTAATTTATTCTAAGGACTCAAAGCAATAAGATTTTGTTTATTAGAGGAAATTGCTACTGTTAGGAAGTTTGAATTCTTGTAAAATATTTACATATTTTTAAAGAAATGGCTCTGCAACCCTTAATTATATTAGATATCAGATCAAATGATTATATTAGACCTTCTTCTGATTCTTAGAAGTCTTAAGGACTTGGCAGCATCCTCTACCCCCACCTCCCACCCATGTTAACCAATAGACCTATGTGTGTGCTGACACACATGCATACGCACACACACGCACACACAGCTCTTTAGGGTAAAGCCCTGTCTTTTCTGGGTGCCTGCATTCCTCAATTCTCCCTTAAGCCATGGTTCATTGAGATGTGGGCTAGTGATCATTCCCCCGCCTGGCTGCTGTGGGCTCCCCTAGCCAGCTTTCCAAAGAATAGCCTGAGCCTTACCTCTGATGAAGCCCATGCTGGGAGCAGGGCTGGAGCTTTCCTCCATAAGCTTTTCAGTCTTCAGATATCCACTTGGGAACCCTGGTCTCAATGATGTAGGCTCTGGAAGTATAGAAGTTAGACTCGGGGTCAGGTTCAACAGGGAAAAGAAATCATGTGATGCTGGTGCTTTAAGAGAACGGCTGATGCTTGTGTGCTGATGAAGTGCTAGAGCCAAAGGAAAGAAAGACAGGGGCCTTGACTGTTTAAAAGGACTCGTCATGTTTTTTTTCTACTCATTTATTCAAGAAATATTTAATGGGTTTTACTACCAGGCTTCAGGCATTGCTCATGAATGTTACATTCTGATTAAAAGAGAAAACAACAGACTAATAGACACTGCTGCCATGCAGTCTTCGGAGGGTCTGATAATGGCCTGGGCAGCGGCTTTAGAGTGTGCGCAGGGAAGACATGACCTTCAGCAAAGCTCAGGAAATTTAAGATGAACAGAAGTGCACAGCACGTGAGGGTCAAGAGGAAAACATCACAGAGCCAGAGCTCAGCGGGCCTGGGCGGGGATGAGCGTGGCATGTTGCAGAAGGTGAAAGGGCAGGGGGGGTGAGCCCAGCAGGTGAGCAGAGGCAGGGAAGAGGCAGGAGAACTGACAGGCACCTGCTTGTGCATGGAATGGAGCTGGAGCTGCAGCTGGACACCATGAAAGGGCTGTTCTCTGGGAAATAGCATGATGCTCAGAACCTTTTCTAAACTGTCCTCTGGCTGCCCTGTAGAGGATGGATTGCAAGGCGACAGAACGGGAAGCCTAGAGGATTTGGGATGGTGGGAAGCCATTCAGTCAGTGAGTCACGCCACACATGATGTTGGCATGGATACGGGTGATAGAGATGCTGAGAAGTAGGTGGAGCCAGGAGGAGTTCCCATCTTACCACAGTAAAGGGATGTCGCAGAGTAAAGATGACTTGGCTGATGACTTGATTAGCGGCCTCAGATGATGGCCTATTAGTGCTGGCTCGAGTGCTTTTGAATAGAACTCATAGAAAACTCTGAAATGTTGGCTTCTCTTGAGAAACCAGAGTATCTGGCTGTCTGGAACCTGAATCCCCAGAGGGCCCAGCTGTTGGGAGCTGAGGCTTGGCTTCCTTTCCTAAGAGACAGGTATGCTTCCTGATTTGCAAAGCCCCTATCTGTCCCCATCATCGCCCTGACAACGAGGCCACTGCTGTTGGCCATTCACCATCAACTTATCCATCAGGCTTACTTAACTCATTTACTATACTTTGTAGACCTTGTATTCTGGGGAATCTCACCTCTGCTAATCTGAAATGAAAGTGGAGGAGAAAAAAAAACTTTAGGGTACCTCTGACCCTCTGTATAGCTGCAAACACAGCCTATTTACCAACAATTAAACAATGGCATTCTTTAAAACAAACGGGTTACGTGGAGGCATTGCCTGCAAACACTAGATGAGATGTTGGTTTGCTTTCAGTGTTTTCTGATGACGTACCAGTGTTCAGTTTGTGAAAAGTGCACTTTGCACACTTATGTGCCTTTTGTGTATATTATTCTCCGATTACAACCAGAAAGTAATACCATTTTTAAGATCATTTGAGCTATGAATGTATTTATTTTTTGAGTTGTGGTTTTTACAACTCGCCTTTTGCTCTTTCAGCCAAGCCAAAGCCATGTACTCCTGTCAAGCAGAGCACAGCCATGAGCTCTCCTTCCCACAGGGGGCGGTCTTTTCTAATGGTAAGTGCACCCAGTGCCTTCCTTTAAGGAAACAAAGGAACACATCAAATTCCTCTGGACCCCAGTTTCCTTCCCTGTCTATGTGTGTGAGTGTGTGGTGTGTGTGTGTGTGTGTGTGTGTGTGTGTGTGTGTGTGTGTTGGGGAGGTGGAGTCTGGATTTAGGGTGGAGGGAAGATGGGAGAAATTGGCTGATTTATTATAAGAATATAAAGGGCATTTCCATCTTTAAAGAAGCTGTGACATTGTTTTGTGGATTCATGCAGTCTGATGTGGGTGGATTCTTATTCATTTGTGTATATAATTATTTGAAGCTAATGCTGAGTGAGTCACATTAACTTTTTATTTTTTTTTCCAGTGTACCCATCGGTGGAACCAGGGTGGTTGAAGGCAACTTATGAAGGCAAAACAGGACTAGTCCCAGAAAATTATGTTGTCTTCCTCTAATACTGTTTAGTGTATGGCAGTATCTTCATGGTATCCATGGTAACAAATAATACGTGCTATGATTTTATCTGACACAGATATGGCAATCAGCCCACTAAATGAAAACAGACAATTTCTATCAAGTCCTACACCAGCAGACTATGTAGCTCCCTACTAATGGAAAAGGGAAAGAAAAAAAAAATGTTCAAATTGTTTGCCATTCTTTTTTTTTCTTTTTTTTTTGTGGCTTTTTTTCTTTTTCTGGTTTCTTATCTTAAAATATCTTTCTTTTTGATAAGCCTCCACAGTGGCTCCATAATAATTGAGAATCTCAAATACTGTATAAGCACTATATCCCAGAAATTTGAAAACTAGAAATTTGATTTAAGGATTTTGGGATCTGCCCTTTACTGTCTGGCATTCTCTGAGAAACCTTGAAATTGTTACTTAAGAATGTAATGTAAATTGCTCGTTTATGGTTTTTTTTCTTTTAAAAAAAAAAAATACTGCTTTTATATATGATTGTTTTGCTGGTCCTAAACATTTCAAGGAAATAAGTTGTTTTTTCATGTAACTTTATTTTTGTTTACCAAGTAAGATGATAATACTCAAAAGCAACGATGTATATAATGCCTGTAAATGAAGCCAAAATAAGTCAGACACTGAGTCCATTGGAAACACTCCATCCAGCATTCCAGATGCCTTCCATAGGCTTTGAGGAGGGACCAGCAAACTATTTCTGTGAAGGCCTGATAGTGAATATCTTGTCTTTTGCAAGCCCTATTGTCTCCATCACAATACATAATTGCCATCGTATGGCAGAAAGCAGCCATAGACAATAAGGACACAGATCAGTGCGGCTGTGAGCCGACACGGCTTTATATATGGACCCTGCAACTTGACGATCACATAATAATCACAACACGAAATAGTCCTCTTTGGCCATTGTCAGCTGCTGGTTCACACAAAAACAGGCGGCAGGTCCTATGTGACTCATGGGTCCTGGTTTGCTGAGTCCTGATTTAGAGGATATGTAAAACTAGCTTTATTACTTGGGGATTTCTATGAAATGTTACTTCATTACATATAAATACCGATAAATTATATGCACATAGTAGCATCATAATTGCATCACAAAAGCATCATTACCATATGAGGAAGACAATGTAAAAGTGTAGGCATACAACTTAAATTCTACTAGTAGCATTAAAGTGTCAAAAGAATTCTGTTGACACCTAATTTTGGCTAATGAGAAATTCTCTGCAAGTGATCAAGAAATTTTTAAGATACTAGAAAAGAAGCTATGCCTTCTAAAGTCTGTGCTTAGTTGAAACAAAATGTAAGCATAAAGGTACAAGGATTCTTAAATTATTTTGAACCACAAAATTTTAAAATGGTTTTATCACTTTTAGCAGGAATAACATGTGTACATGATTTTTAAAAATGCCATTCAATTTATAGTCTTTATTGAATTTATAGAGCATAGAAATTTACTACCCATTTATATATGTTGTCAACAGCTGGTCACGCATTTCTGTTATTTCAATAATTCTATTTCCGTAATTCTAATATATCATTTCTATAAATACTTGCATGTGGCAAAGAGCCTTTCTTCTCAAGATTTCAAAAAGCTGGTTACCTGTCATTTAACAGCCACAGCGCGAGCCCACTGGGCTATGTTTTACTTGTTACTTCAGAGTTCTCCACTGTACAGACACTCTCAGGTATTGACTGTATAAAACTCTTTTTATGTGATATTATAATCTGTAATCTCAGTCTCTTCTACTTTAAATTAATGTCTCTAGAGTTAATAGAATATACACTCAACACATACACATGTACGCACTATGCCTTGGAGCATGTATTCCTTTAAAATTAAAAATGGAACACTAGAGTAGAATTTAAACGTAGAGAGAATAACAGTAGATAGGGTCACGGCCAGAAATAAATATCAGTGCGTTGGAATGAAAAACTATTTAATGTTATAAAAGTTAGTAATATAATGAAAAAAATCTGATGTTTCTCTCTCTCTCTTACTCTTTTTTTTTTTTTTCTTTCCTCCTGCTGTTCATTTTTTGTACATGATAATTGGGTGTTGCTAGAGCTTCTTGATCTCTAGGCCCTTAGTGGCCTTGGTTAGTAATAATAGCTTTGCTGACACCCTGGACTACCCTCTGCTGGAACAGAAGGTTGTCTTTCCGAAGTACCTGCCAGTCCCTTAGTCTGTGCAGCGCTGTCACTGTGACCACCCCTGCCATCGTCTGACATCCTTCCCGATTAGAACCTCTGAACGGCAAATTGATTTTCTTTTCAAAGACCAACCTGACTCAAAAAAGAGATTCAGAATTCTACTTCACTTGCTGCTGCATAAGGAAATCTCACCCTTCATTGTATTTTCACACAGACCAGAGTGTTCCTGCCTCTGAGTTGTCTGCGAGCTAATTTCCCCATGCTTGCTCGTTTGGGAATTAGCTTTTGCTGTCTAGGATGTGGCATGAAGCTCTTTCTCCTGGTGAGGCATGTCTGTGCCTTACGTGCTGTGGTCCTTTGTTTGAAACAAGCTACAAAAGTCCTTATTCAAATTGTGTTTTTGTTCGAAGTATTCATCTTACAGATTTTTTAGGATGATTTTTTTTTTTTTCTTCATTGCCAAGTACACGTGTAAGCAAGTCATGGCTATATACAGGGTATCCTCAAAAAAAAAAAAATATGTGCACACTTTAATAGTTGATAGCTCAATTTTGAAAATGAATTGTATTTTAATAAACACTCCCTTTATAATTATTCAGAGTGTGTGTATACATTTTGGAGGATACCCTATATATCAGAGATGGGCAACTGCTTTTCTCAAGAAATTAATTTCCTGCCAACACTGGTTTGGCTCAGTGGATAGAGCATCAGTCTGTGGGCTGAAGGGTCCCAGGTTCGATTCCGGTCAAGGGCATGTACCTTGGTTGCAGGCACATCCCCAGTAGGGGGTGTGCAAGAGGCAGCTGGTCGATTTTTCTCTCTCATCAATGTTTCTGGTTCTCTATCCCTCTCCCTTCCTCTCTGTAAAAAATCAATAAAATATATTTTTTTTAAAAAAAGAAATGAATTTCCAGCAGATAAGGTGTTTGTGAGCATAGGAAAATCTAAACATGGGCTCTATGTCACCATATTAATTACACAAGAAGGTAATGTTAAGCATTGGAAGATCACATCCCAACGTGTAACAGCATTTCAGTGATGAAACCTTAGCTTTTCAGAGACAAGGTGAAGTAGTTAGAATTGCTACACCCACACCCTCCAGGCACACATATGGATTGTAATCACTGGTTACAGTATAATCAGTATGAAGGTGAGGTTGAGGAGTCTAAGCCAGTCATCTTGTATGTTGTATGAAAACATTCCCAAGGACACACATTTAGGTATTTAACAGGTGACTCTTTTTGGGCCTTAACTCTACCATGTTGAAAGAGATTAGTCCATCAGCTGAAGGCTTATGCTTCTATGTGAACACATACGTCTGAACAGTAAAATAAGATTGTGTTCCTGTAGAGCCCACAAAGGATGAGGCAGTGCCATCCGTTGCTCCTTGTTTGATGTGAGTGGTTTTGCTAACTGAGTCAGCACTCCGTGCTTTGTAATATGAATGAGTACAACCAGGTTCCTCAACAATAGCTCGATTGCTGGCTCTTTCAGGGATGGTGGAGGAGGAAAAAAAGTACCTTACGGTACCATCCCCAGTGATCCGGGTTCCCAAAGAGAGAAAATAAAAGTACATAATGACTTTTATTCTTATTCTAGATATTTTGGTTTTACATTTTGTGGCATGCTTTCTAAATTCCCACCATGTTATAAGAAAAACCAACCTGCCACATTAATCCTGTGAGGGTATCCCTGCTGACCTCCCGCCCGCCTCATTCTTCAGCTCTGTGTCTGATGTGAGAGAGGATGTGAGAGAAGAGATCTGCAGAGCCTTTCTTCCAACACCTTCACTTTGTTAACAAGCCCCTTGAATTGATATCTGAAGCCCCAATTTGATTTACACTTTATTGACTGAAGTTAGAGGCAGGGCAATTTAGGAGCAGATTTTTGTTCTTTGGTTTTAACATATATTTCTAATTTGTAGCTATTACCGTACTCTGACCTGAAAACACTGAGTAGAACCGAAAAAATATATCTCCTGGAAAAGAGACTTGGCCATTGTTATTTTGGACTATTGTCCGAAAGTTATTGTGCTCCTGACTAGAGGTTTGTCAGTTAGGGTAGAAATTGCTGTTTAATTTTGCCTCTTATCTTCCAAAATCAAAACAGTTTTTACCAATGAGGTTCATCTTTCCAAATAGTATATATTGCATCCTGGCTGTCTCCTGCTAATCCACAGTCTTAATATCAGGTATTCATTACCTTTTTTCACATCTCCTGAACACAGTCGTTGCATCCATCACTGTTACCAATACCCTCCTGCTTCAGAGGTGCAGATCCCACTTGGTGATAGCCTTGTACAAACCCAGATTTATGAATGACATGGACTTTTAGAGGATCCGATCAATAAATAGGATGGGGGGAAAATGTGTAGGGCAGCTGCATCCACTGTTTTAAATAAGGAATCTCAAATAAGAATGATGACAGCACTCACATCAAGCCAGGCAGAAAACTGATCTTCATAGTCTAGACCAATGCTTAGAAGCAGTTGTATGAGGTAGGGATCCAGTAGGTCATCACTCCTCCTCTGGCACTCATGAGAGAGATACCAAGTTCAAAGCCAAATATTTCTTGGTGCTTTAGGGAAAGATGGAGACTGTGTGTTCACTGGGGAGTCCCAATGTGCAGGTGCCATTTACAATGATTACAGACACAGATACCCTCCATCGTCACAGATGTTCCTGTATAGGTCTGCATGAGGAATTTAAGTGCTGGAAGTGGGTGGGGGCTGAAAGTGCCAATATGATGTTAATTAGAAGACCATTTTCTCCCTCCTGTGTATTACCTGCCACTTCTCAGCAGTGTTTTCCATGGTTTTTACCTTCCAGCGT